TACTACGAGTACATACTACTACTAAGTACAACTATCAAAAATAGTAACCAAAAGATTAACTAAAACTATGCGTGTCAACTAGTTAGATGCTCAAGGACGCTTCTAAAAAAGGGGAACACAATCACAAGTGAATAATTTTCATTTGGAGCAACTAAATCTATGCTAAATAAGTATGTATACACAGAGAGAAAATAATTATTTCAATATTGAATATGGAAAAATATTAAATAATTACAATAATTAAAAAAATATATTTATGTAAAATGCGTTGATATAAAGATGATATATTATTTTTAGTATTTTTAGAGTTATACATTTTTTCGATTGCTTCGATTGAGTGGTCCATAAATAATTTCTGCATGCAAGTCGATCAATTAGTGAAATGATTCAGTCTTACCATTGACTCATTGTCTTAGAAAGGACAGGCGGATGGAAAATACTGCCGACAAATTTCCACAAATAAGTTTTTTATAATTACATTTAAAAATGCGACGAATATATTTTCAAAGCATATTTTAAGTATGGGCTTTTTAGCCATTTATTTTTATTGGTTCCTACGATTCGCGTGCTTAGAGTTCTTTGATACTCGAGCACGTTTCGATTGACGACCATTTATTACTTTAATAAGTTCGGACTACAGCGTTTGAGAAGTGCATATGAATCTTCATATGTAGATTTTGCCATTGCATACATTGAGGGACTATCTAGTTACGTCACGCCAATAATAAAACAAAAAATAAGTGGAAACTTTCAAAACAGTGTATTTTTCACCATTCTACTTTTGACTATGAAACGTGGTTTTACAAAGTAAGTGCACCGAAAGTTTTGTTTACTTTATGAGCTGATATTATCAAACAGCTGATATTGTCAAATTAACTAAAAGCAAAGTAGCGGCAGTGCCATCTCAACATCGTGGTTTTGTTTGGTTTCTCTACTGCAGATAGAGTAGTGCAAGCCAAAAATTAAGGCTGCAGAGCGCTAGTTGAAACATTTTATTTACTACTGAAAATATTGTGCAATATTAAGAGTATGTCATATTAACAGATCATTACGACAGTGTGGGGTAGTATGGTGAGGATGTAAAACCTTTGCCTTTTTAGCGTAAACAAGGTATGCCCAGCTCTAAGCTCATTCGAGCTCAACAAATCATTCAGGCAAATTTTTCGAGAATAATTTGAGCACTTTGCTTGTAGCCATCTGAGTAGCTTTAAAGTTTTTTGAAATTCGCGAGGGCGGGTCAATTTGTATAGGAGATTTTTTACACTATGCGCGTATATCATAGAAGGATTCTACGTGTAATTCTAAGAAAATTTGCCGAAGAAAACAATGGGTCTAAAATCAATTTGGAGTTTGCCAAATGGCGAAAATAGGTTTCTTCGCATTTTGCTGTAGTGTCGCCAAGAAGTGCTTAAATTTTGTATAAAAACATGCTGTAAGAGGTATAAGGAATCCATTTCTGCACTTATCTTTTTCTTAAAATTTACACCAGAGGGCGAAACAATAAAGTGTTCACATTTACTTCGTAACCTATTTACGCAATTTGCCAAACTCCAAACTAATTTTAGACCCATAGTTTCTTCGGCATATTTGCTTAGAATTACACATAGAATTTTGCTATGTTATACGGGCACAGTAAACAAAAAATTGATCCTATATATGGAAATCTTGTCGCTTACAACGAATTATACGAGTGCTATGTGTTGCTAAGCTACGTTTTAATAGTTTAAATTACATTTATAATTTTTTTTGTTAACATATTAAACTTGCAGCAGAAATTAATTAATGCCCCACCCGTGCAGCAGCATACATACGTTCGCTGCACACTGCTTTGTCTACAAACCAATAAATATTTAAGTAAGACCGGTAATTTTGGGTGACTCATGCTGAACTGTGCAATTATATTTTTCAAGCTTTCGAGTGTTTTTTTTTTTGCTAATTAACAACATACATACAAATATGCGTATGCAACGTGACATTTTTAATTTTACAAAAAATTGCAAAAAATTAATTAATTATTTTTGCTTTAAGTTTTTAAGAATATAACTTGATTGTTAATACTTACATTCGTTTGTATAGTTTTATAATAAAAAAATCTCTTTCAAAATTTTCAGAGTACATGAAATGGGAAATGGTTTGGAATGGAGTGGATTGGAACACCACAAAAAAAAAACAATATAAAATAAATAAAAAATACAATAAAAAAAAACAAAAATAAGAAATAAAATAAATTATGAAAACTAAAACCGAAAATAAGAAGAGAACTGTTTATGTGCAAATGAGATAGAGGAGAAATGTGTCAGTGCTGGTCAATGAACGTGAAACTTGACGCAAGTATGGAGATGTAGAGTTAAAAAAAATCTGTGTAACTATGCATGCCTCTATGCGTGAGTGCAAGTATGTTGAAAATATGCTTGTATGTCATTTGAGTGCCATGTTATTAATTTCTGAAAGATTTGTTTGTGAGCGTATGCGCCTTTGTAATTTGATTGTAAGCAAGCAAAGGAAACATTCAAACGAAAGACTTAAGAAACAAACTTGCGGTGGGGTATGTCTGATTGCTTGTGAGGACATGGAGGATGGTTGTTGTAGGCGGAAAAGACCAAAAACAAACTCAATTACAAATAAGCCTACGGGAACGCTGAATAACAACAGTGCAAATTAGACAATTAACAATTGCAAGATTAATATTTTTATTTTTTTTTTCGTTGTCGGTTTCAATATCAATATGCAAGGCAAATGCAGTGCAAAAAATCAATGCAACAATATAATTAGTAGTAGTTTTTATGCATTCTGTTTTAAATATGTTAAATTGAGGTTAGGTTTTTTTTTTTTATTGAAAATTCGGGTTAGTTGTTTAGAGTTAGTTAAGTTAAGTTAAATATGTGTTAATAGTTAATAGAACAGGCGTAAAAGAGTTGTAAGTTTTTTTGTTTAAATTTGGGTTTTCTCTTTAACTTGTTTGCTTGTTTATTTGTTTTGTAGTTAGTAGTTGTTGTTGTTGCTGGTTGCAAAAGTTAGAATATATGGGAAATGAAAAATACAATTGCACTTACAAGAGGCCGTCCCCAATACCATGATTTGACACGTTGTGTTAAACCACCCAAATGTGAACGTAGTCCATCTAAGTAGCCACCCTGAAAATGCACAATGAATAAACGAGAAAAAAAGAAAAAAAAACAAACACACATAGTTTTTTCGGGTTGGTTGATTTGATTGTTTGATTTCGAGGATTGCAATTTTCAATTCAATTAAATTTTTACAATAATTTTATTTTTGACAAAAATTTATTAAAAAAAAATTTATTTAAAAAAATCGTATTTTTTCGATTTTAAATTTTTTTGGAAATTTCGTATTTTTTTTCATGAGATTTTTTAATTTTTTTAATAGTTTCGTTGTCAAATTGGGAGCGAAAAATTATAAGTTAAGGTATGAAAGAGGAAAGAAAGAAAATGCAGAAGAATTAAAAAATGAAATTGAAAAAATTTAGAGATTTAACGTTTGTTTTCATTTCAGTTTGGTTAGGTTTGTTTGGGGCAACTAACATAATTGTAAAATTTAATCATACAATTACTAAAGCACAGACTAAATAGACTATAGGTTTTATAGAGAGAATCTAAATTAGAGGTTAGCGGAAGTAGTTAAATGAATAACAGTTTTATGTTTATATGAAAATATTTATAGTCGAATAGTTAAAGAGTAGCTTTATAGACGAGAAACTACTGAAAAAGAGTTTTAAGTGATTGAGGTAATGTTGGCTTACAGTGAGCAGAGTAACAACATCTATCATCAAAGAACGACCTTTATAGTATGTAAATATGTATGTACGGTATAACAACAACCTAGCTAGAAACACTAACTGTTATGTTTATAAAAAAAAAAATTATATATCCATGTATGTAGTACATATTATATGTACATTTGTAAACATGTTTGTGTATATATATGACAATGGTTGGAGTTAAAATATATATTGTACGATTAAATGTAACTATGTATGTATATAATATTAATAAATTTACACATATGTATACTCATAGACTATGCCAAAGAAAGCTGCTAGCTAATTAGGCTGTGGGTTACACTGGGAAAAGAGTTAAGTTACGTTAACTAAATATATATTTTTTCTCATTATTTGATTATAGTTACCAAATCTTGCGTTAAGAAAATTATATTAAGCTGCGTCTTTTCTCAGTGGGGCATAGGATTTACTTAATAAAAGGTTACACTTTCTCATATTATTCACAACTGAACTTCAACACTTAGTTATGCTATATAAAAATAAAAACAATTTTAATCCTATCTATAACCTCCATAACTGCAATAAATACCGAAAGACTGTACTACCACTAACTGACTATCTACCATCTAGTTCACTGCATTTCTTACACTAACAACTACTAACACGTTTCGATGCGCACTAACATGATCGCTATGCCATTTTATGTTATGTTCTGTTTGTCTAATTAATGGCATAAAGTTTGTGTGTATTCGTACCCTTTAACTGCACTATTTATTTTATTAAAGATTTAAGTTCTGTGGTTTTCTTCTGAAAAAAAACCCAATTTTTCCAAAAAGTCCATAAGTTTCATTGCAATGGCTTGTTTTGCATAAATGTTCACTGTTTTGTTTTTGTTTTTTTTTGGAAATGTGTTTCATCGCTTTTTAGTAGCTTCAAGTTTCG